CCATGCTGACTGGGCCTGATCACCTGGTTATCCCGTACATGCCACTTGATGGCACCCAGGATGATCTGCTCCATAACCTGCCCCAGCACCGAAGTCAGACTGACAGGCCTGTAGATCCCCAGATCCTCCTTCCAGCCCTTCCTGTAGATGGGTGTCACATTTGCTATCCTCCAGCCAACTGGGACCTCCCCAGTTAGCCAGGACTGATGATAAATTATGGAAAGTGGCTTGGTGAGCACTTCTGCCAGCTCCCTCAGTACCCCTGGGTGGATCCCATCCGGCCCCATAGATCTGTGTGGGTCTAAGTGGTGTAGCAGGTCGCTAACCATTTCCCCTTGGATTATGGGGGCTTCATTCTGCGCACCATCCCTGTCTTCCAGCTCAGGGGCTGGATACCTGGAGAACAACTGGTCTTACTATTAAAGACTGAGGCAAAAAAGGCATTAAGTACCTCAGCCTTTTCCTCATCCTTTGTCACTATGTTTCCTCCTGCATTCAATAAAGAATGGAGATTCTCCTTAGCCCTCCTTTTGTTGCTAATGTGTTTATAGAAACATTTTTATTGTCTTTTACGGCAGTAGCCAGATTAAGTTCTAGTTGGGCTTTGGCCCTTCTAATTTCCTCCCTGCATAACCTCATGACATCCTTGTAGTCCTCCTGAGTTGCCCGCCCCTTCTTCCAAAGGTCATAAACTCTCCTTTTTTTTTTTTAATCATGGTCTCTGAATTATATCCCCAAAAGGGTCCTGAAGCAAACATGCAATTTGGTCTCATGTTGCTGTCTGAATTAGGCCATATTTATTACTCATGTTTATTGCAAAAATATAGAATCATAATGGGAAAAGATACATTTTTGGAGTACTTTATTAGAGATCCATTCATTTCAAGACTCTGAAAAGGAAAAAAAGTATACTGAATCTCTTTTGTATTCTGTCTTCTCACCCTCCAATGCAAAAAGAAATTTTTCTGACTATATTTTATCCTCCACTACAAAATATGAACACCCTGAAGGAAAAGGGAGGATTAACGCTGGTCTGAGTAAGTGCATGCACCGGTGACTGAGAACTGGCACGGTTGCCCAGACAGGCTGTGGAGTCTCCATCCTTGGAGATACTCAGAAGCCTTCTGGACATGGTCCTGGGCAACCAGCTCTAGGGTTTGGACCAGATGACCGCCAGAGGTCACTTTCAACCTCAACCATTCTATGACCCTTTGATTTCTACTAAACTATGTGAAGCGGTACTTGTTCATGTAAGCGGAGATTTGGTCAATCAAATGTCATGATTATAACAGGACAGAATTTTACAATCACTTATACCTATCTTTGCATATTTTAACAGAAACTTTTTTCCCCATTGAGTTATTTGGTTTGCATTCAGAACAACATTGTCTTTGTGCTGCTCAGTAATTGGCCAACCAACCTACTGCTTTTAAGTTTTCCCATATTTATGGGAAAATCTCTAAACCATGAACAAAAAAGAAGCTAAATTCAGGACGAATCTTCAGTAGCAGTTCAGGGCCAATTCACTGCACTACCCTTCAGTGTCACTAATTTAAGTATTTTACATCTAGCCAGAAGACTAAATATTCCTCTTCTCTCTACAGGCTTTGCTTTGTCAGTCATGTTAGTCTTTATTTATTACACGCTAGTTTAACACTAACATTCTTGCTGCTTTTTTCAGCCCACTTCCTAGAATTGAAATGCCTTCCTTGAATAAGGCCAAGACTCCTTCCCTTTTCACATCTTTTTCTTAGTCATAAACCTTTACTTATGTCCACACCAAAATGGTCTACACACTCGCCTAAAAGGTCAAATATAAATGAAAATACCTATTACACAACAAAATTAAAAGTCAATATATTGGGGGGGGGGGGAAAGCTGTGTGTATTTGTCCTTTTTATATTGCTAATCTTTAATTTTGAACTCTTCAGGGTAGACAAGGTGTCCACCACATTACCAGTAATAAGGTACCGGCAGATGTTCTGAAACTTCTGTAGTGCTGGAAAATACTGTTCTCCAAAAATATACCAAAACACAATTCAGCATGCCTATTGCAAGTGCCTCTTAGGAGAAGAAATATGTAAATGGAAATAAGTAACCATTTTCTTTTCCAAGACTAGTCAAGGGAGTAAACTGAAAAGAATGCCATTTAATCACTATAACATACTGAGCTGCCATCAAGCAGCCAGTAAGCTGTTATCTGCAACAAAATACTACAGCAATTAAACATAGACCTTTCTCTCTAAAGATGTATATACCTGACATGATGTTTTTAGGAAAATGATATGGGGAAAAAGGGATTACAGAGTTGTGGAGGCAAGACAATAACAAGTAGGGAGGTAATAATTTCAATGTCAGGTTCATTTCTGGTAGATTCATGATCTGTATTTGCCAAATAGAAGATGTGTCACAAAATCAGTAAGTTGATTTACTCCAGCTTTTCAGTCAAGCTGCTTTGCTTTTTCCACTGCTTATAAAGCACTCATTCCATTAAGACAAAAAAAAAAAAATTATCTCCACAACCAACCTCAAGAAATGCACAAAAGTCAATTTCCAGGAAATGCTAATCCTACCTAATATAATCCCCCAAAGTTAATAATGCAAAAATGTAACTATTATGTTATTAAATATCACCTTCAGATTACAGAGAATTGCAAGGTAACACCATACTTTGTTATTCATATTACCTTGCGTCAGAATGGGTGAGAAACCAGATGAAGCACTGTGGGGTCTATGGGATAGGACATAAGATGCACTATTCCAATGATGCTACACAAATACTGGGATGCCAACTTCATTTAAATAGATTAAGTGGCAGTTTCTTGTCCCAGCTATTTGAAAAATGATGTTTAAATTATGAAATTAAGTGTATAAGTAATAGGCATGTAATACATGAGAAAATCTTACCATAGTACAAGTAGACAATTTACATTGATTATTTTGGACTTGATGGTTTGTAAGATTCATCATTTTAAAATCACTTTCAGCCTTTTCTGTGGCAAGTGTTTACTGAAGGGTAAAACACATCTCTCATGAGGCCAAATTGAGTGATACCAAAGAAGAACATATGAAATTAAATCTAT